CGGGCTCACCTACCCCGGGACGCTGTGGTGCGGCGCGGGCAGCAACGCGGATAGCTACGAGCAGCTGGGTAAGGGCGGCGAGGCTGCTGCTACCTGTATCTTCCCATCCCATCCCTTTCATCCCATCTCTTCCCATGCCATCCCTACAATTCCATCCCATGTCTGCATCTCATTCCTCCCTGTTCCCGTCTATCCCATCCCATCCCCAATCTGGTGCTGCTCTATCACAGCCCAGTCCCAGTCCCCGTCCTCAGTCCAGTGCTGGTAAATCCCGAGCAATTTTAATCCAGTCCCATCCCAGTGCTGGTCTACTCCAGTCCCCATTCCCATGCTAGTTCAATCCCCGTTGCTTCCAGTTCAGTCCCCACTCAAGCACCAGCCCAATACTAATTCATCTCTGCCTAGTCCCTATCACAAGACTAATCCGTCCTGGTGCTGATCCAGTCTGATCCACCCTCTGCCCCCAGCCTGATCTGTGGTCTGTCCTGCTCCTATTCTGGTTCCCATGCCAGTGCCAGCCTTGTCCCTATCCAAATGCCAATCCAGTGGTAGCCCCTACCCATCCCAATATGATTCCAGCCCTATCTCAGTCCAATCTAATTCTGATCCCAGTCCTGTGCCAGCTCAGCCCCAGCCCTGCCCTGATCCCAACCCCATCTAGCCCCAGCCCATGCATGTGGGTCCTCCCAGCCCCACCTGCACCCCACACCTTCCCTGCAGGAGAGCACCGGGACACGGACAGGTGCTGCCGGGACCATGACCACTGCCAACACGTCATCCACCCCTTCACCGCCCGCTACGGGTACCGCAACCTGCGCTGGCACACCATCAGCCACTGTGACTGTGACCGCAGGTGAGCAGCCCCACACCTGGCTGTGCCCCACATCACACCTACATCCTGGGGGGTACCACTCCCCTCACTCCAGCTCTGCCCCGTGGCAGGCTGAAGGAGTGTCTGCGGCGGGTGAACGACACAGCTTCTCGTGTGGTGGGTCAGGCCTTCTTCAACGTCATCCAGGTGCCCTGCTTTGAGTTCACCTACAAGGAGGAGTGTGTAGAGCCCTACCTCTACGTCTGGTGAGTGCCCCCCACCATGGGGATCAGCCCCCCACCCAGACCCACTGGGGCTCACCTTACCCTGTGTGTCCTTGCTCTTTGCAGGTGCAAGGCATACAACACGGTGGCTGTCGCGGTGCCCAGGGAGCCAGCGTCATCCAGGTGCCCTGCTTTGAGTTCACCTACAAGGAGGAGTGTGTAGAGCCCTACCTCTACGTCTGGTGAGTGCCCCCCACCATGGGGATCAGCCCCCCACCCAGACCCACTGGGGCTCACCTTACCCTGTGTGTCCTTGCTCTTTGCAGGTGCAAGGCATACAACACGGTGGCTGTCGCGGTGCCCAGGGAGCCAGTGCTGTATGAATTTGGTGGGGAGCTCATTGACAGGGCAGCGAGCCCCAGGGGGGTCCCTCTGAGCCCCCCATGGAGCAGCACAGGTGGAGGAGCCCTCCCAGGGGAAAATCACACTGGGACAGCCCCAAAAACAGCCAAGAAAGAGAGGAAGGGGAAGAAGAAAGACAAGAAAAAGAAAGGAAAAGGTCTGAAAAAGAAAGGCTCTTCTGAAAAAGGGGCACAGAGCCATCCTGCAGCTGCTGCCCCTGCTGATCCCCCTGCAGGTCAGGACCCCTGGGCCCTGCTGCCATCCTTGGGGGAAGAATCCAACACCATCCTGAATGATGCCCCGGAGCAAGAGGGCTTGGGGAAGGAGCCAGCGCCAGCCACTCCCTCCCCAGTCCCCACTGGCAGTGGGAAGAGGAGGAGGAAGGAAAGGAACAGAAAGAAGAGGCTGAAAAGCAAAGCTGAGGCTGAGCCCACACAAGAGCCATGGCCCTGAGCCCTCCTCACCCCACATGGGTCTTGGCTGTGAAATAAAAAGTTACATCTGCTTAAGCAGATGGTGAGCAGAGCCCTGTCTCCCTCGGGGAAAGGATGGCACTGGGGGCGGCATCCAGGGGAATTCCCGGGACCAATCCCATGGGAGGGGAGCACCCGGAGTTGGGTGGGTATTGAGGGGTTTGAGCTGTTCCTCTTTGCTCCCACCGGCTCACACCATTGTCCTGGGCGCTAGGGACATGAGTTGCTGCTCTGGATGGGGACACAGCTCCTGGCCCCATGCTGGCACAGGGCTGAGCCCCAGTTTTAGTTCCCCTGCCACAGAGGGTTAAATTCCAGCTCTCCAGGCATGTTTTTCTCTGGAATTTCTCTGAATTGGACCACCCCAGCTCTCTCATCCTCTTAACCCACCGCTTTTCTGGTGCTCCCATACCAGCACTGACTCCTTCTCTAGCCGCCAGCAATGACAGCAAGTGACAGGGGCTGCTCTGGGAGGAACAGGGGCCTTGGCCCTCCCTGGAGACTCCTTAAATGCCTACAAAAGCTTCTTAGAGTGAAACAATAAAAGCTTTTCCAGCCCTGGGACAAAGGCAGATGCTGCCTGGGAAGAGCTGGGGCAGGGAATGCTGCCTGTGTCCCTGCCTGCTGGTTGGGAATCGTGCCTGGGTTCCCGTAGTGAGAAGTTTGAGGGCAATCCCCAAGGACAGGGCATTGCCACCAACTCCTCCAAAGTGCTTCAGAGGGAGGAGCGTGGCTCAGCCCAGCATCCTCTCTCCTACCCAGTGAGGTGGTAGGAAGATCCTCCTGCACCAGCACCAAATTTCTGAACTGGAAAAAGCTGGAGCAACAGGAGCTGAACAGAGTATCCTATTTTGCCTTAGGAGATCAGACAGCACCAAGGCTGGAGAGCAGAGCCGCCCCATGCAAAACCCACCGCCCCTGGAGAAGCATGCAGTGCAAACCAAAATCCTTGAGATAAGCAGATCAAAAGAGCCCAGGGGGGAGTACCAAGGTCTTCGGGAGGCGTCACTCCCTCTCCAGGGCTGCTAATGGGTGTGAAGTCCCTGCAGCAGCCACGGCATCCCGGCAGGAAGCACGGACGTGGGGGCATGCAGGCAGCTTCCCAAAAGTAGAACTTTTATTGATGGTAAGGGAAAACTAAAAACAAAGACAGCCAAAAAGGAGCCAACAACACAACTACAGCTCCCCCTGCCCCTTACAGGTCCAACAGACCTCTGCTAAGGAGCTGCTCCCACATTCCCATCATACAGTTTCATAAAATAAGGAAATAGAGCCAGGTTAGTCCACCTGCACCCTCGGAACTGTGGGGCCCAGCTCACAGTTCTCCCACCCAGCCTGTGTGGTTCTGGGGGAACAGGACCCTGTCAGCCCCCCAGGACTGCAGAGGGGATTGCATTGAAGCCAGGACTTGCATTTCTCCGTGGAAAGAGCTTTGCTTTGTCTCCCGGGTTGCTGCCATTCTTCAGGAGCATTTACATGCAAAAAAGACCTTTGTTTCCCCAAGATCTGCTGTTCTTGCTCATTTCCTAGCAAAGGAGGCTGACCAGGAGCACTTGGAAGGAACAAAGACTCTGCTTCCATAGAAAATCCCTACTAACAAAGCAGGAGAGTGAGTGCAGCAGGAACTTTCCCCCTCAGAAATGGCTCTCCTGGCGCCAGGACTGGGCTGTTTCTGACAGGACTGAAGTTACCCACATAATCCACCCCTCTCCCAGTACCTCTCCCAACCCAAAAGCCACAGGCCTCCGCGAGGTGCCCCCGATGTCGCTGTGATGTCTCTATACAACGATCCAAAACAAAACATCATTCTGCATCATCTCCACAGAAATCAGCTTCTCTGTGACAGTTTCAGCACACAGAGGGCAATGCAAAAGCAACAAAGAAGGAAGGAACATCGACTTCCACCATGGAACTCTGCTCTGAGCAAATCCCAAGGGAAAGGGCAGGGAGGCAGGCAGCACAGGGTGCAGCAGAAAACCTCTCAACTAGCATTCAGTAGAAACACTATTTATTCACCCCTCTTGGTTACAACTGGGCAGGGTAAGCGGGTACAGAGGAGGATGCCATGCACTCCGGGCTGCTCTGCAGTCTCTGCCACAGCAGTTTAGCCCACGTGTCTATCCCGCGCTCGGGGGAAGCTGCCAGGGGCTGGCATTTGACTTTGCAGTCTGATTAAAAAAAATAATAATCAAAACTAAATAAATATTGTTCCAAAAGAAGCCAGAGGAGAGAGCAAGCCTTTGGTACAACAGCTGCATCTCCAGTAAGACCTCGAGCTGCTGTGCTGGACCGATCCGGACACAGCTGGGGGTTGGCACCGGCTGTGCAGAGCCTGGTGCACACGAAAACATGGAGCAAACAACAAAAACTTTTTGAGAACTCCAGTTCACTTGTCACAACCCCAGTGACTTTGCTTTGTGGTCTCGGGACAAGGAGAAGTGACAGTCAGGGTTTGGGAGAATCCAAAGGAAACAGGCTCACTCCAGGCCGATGGTCTGCACTTTCAGCTACATTTGCTTCCCAGTCTTTGGGGTGAAAGCAGAGTGCTGTGCACGTACAAGGACAGACTCCTTTGACCTCATGTTTGCTCTGCTGAGCTTCCAAGGTGCCTGGAACCAGAGCCTGGAACGCAGAGGCCAATGCAGTGTTCCTTTCTACAATATATTTTTTTATATATAGTATATACTTTTAAACCAGCCCTGCCAAGTCAATTCATTCGCTCAGGTGCGCATCACCAAGAGTCATTTCCCATCATCCTATGACGTATAAAACAGGAGTTATGTGTCTAAGGGAAGAGAAGTCGTTTCCAATTGTTCCCTCTCCTTTCCCCTTCCTGGAGAAGAGAGTGGAGGTTTCGGGTCAGGTCCTATCGATCCATCTCATCCAGGAGCGGCGTGGCGTCCCCAGCGATGGACATGGGCGTGCTCTCGATCATGGGGCTGGGAGACGGGCGAGGAGTCAACCTCTGCTTCTGTTTCCTCCGCTCAGCCTCCTTCTCCTGCAGCCACTGCTCGGCCATCTTCCCCCAGTCGATGGCAGCGTGGCTGTTGGTCCTGCAAGGACACAGGCAGAAGGTGAGATGTGCTACCAGGAGAGCTTCCCTGCCCTCTCTTCCCTCCCCAAGGTCCCACACAGGAAGATACAACATAACCCCACCATGCTCCTTCCACAAACATCAACAAAAGCAATGGAGACAGGACACAGACAGATACAAACACCCAGAGTCACTCACTTTGGCTGCTGCCTCTGCCTGGAGCTGGATGATGGCTGGGACTGGGACTGGGTGGACTGGGGTGTGGTGTTGGCCTGGAGCTGGTACTGGGGTGTTGTAATGGGCTGGCTGGGAGTAGTGTAGGAGTAACTGGGGGTCATCAGAGGGGTGGCCACTGGCTGCTGTGCTGGAGTTGTGAAGACCTGCAGAGAGCAGAGGCTGTTAGGGGATAGAGGGTGAACCCTGCTAGGCTGTGGTGGGCTCTGCACTGCTCTGCCCACCCAGGAGGCTGGTGCTTGCCCTTGCTGCCTGTTCCCAGCCCTGTTGCATCCCTCAGCTGGGCAAGAAGAGGGTAGCAGTGGGCACTGCCCAGGGAATGGGGGGTTGCAGGGTAAGAGGAGCAACATCCTCTTGAGTGCAGACATTCGTTCCCCTGAGAGCACCCAGTCTCACACCCAGCCTGGGCCAGCCCAGCCTGCCCTCCTTGTTCACCCCACACAGGCTGCAAGGGGAGATGCTTATGCCCAGCAAAGGCAAGAAGCACAACAACACTTGGGGCAAGCTAGCAGCAGTGACATCCTGCAGTGGGCACATAGAACAGATGAATTCTTGCTCTGTGGGCTGCAGAAAAGGTGCAGCAGCTCCTGAGATGGCTCCCTTCCACATCCCAAGCCAGCTGGCTGTTTGTCCCATGCTTAGTTTCTTTGCCTCCTGGTGTTATCCTCCCTCTTTCTTCAGATGTCTTGATGATTTTTACATCAGGTTATCCACATTCCCTGCCTATCCCTAGCTCAGTGTTTACTGTGCCAAACTCCTTGAAAGCCTCCCAAGGTGCTCTAAAGGAGGATCACTCCTCCCTGCAAGCCTTGTCTTGCAGCACCTCTTCTTTCAGTCTAACAACTGGGTGTGTTTTTTGTACCCAGGCACCCCAGTCCTTCTGCAGCTGGATTTAGCCTCGGTGTCAGCTGGGAGCTGGCAGCATGGGCTGGGTGGAGGCAGGCACCAACACACATGAGGAAAGGCTTCAGCATGAGCCAAGCCTGTCCAATTCCATCTCACTCCTCGTAAAGCCTCCTGGGCTAGGCTGAGGTGTTCGCCCGCCGGTGCAGCTCAGAGATTAGCGCTGAGCTGAAAAGCTGTGCAAACTCAGCGCATACTTTCACAGCTAATCTCCTCCACTGGCAGCTCACGTTGCCAATTTGGGGGCACAATCAGAAGGTTGTGTGCCCTCACCGCTGGATCCCACCTCTCCACCCTGCCACATTCCTTGAGGGCCAGACCAGTTTCCTACTTGTTCCAACTCCCCCTGGAACAGGGTGGTATTACACGCCTCATTTGTTCAGTCACGGGAGACAAGAGGAAACCTGGTCCAAGAATCCAGCCAGGCTCTCTGGTGCAGCACCACAGGTACAAAGCTAGGACTGGCTGATCCCAGGCAATAAGGGATTCCTCAGGCTCCCAGTGGAGCTGGTTTCTAGCAGCAAGGAGAAACTAGCAGCATCTCCTGCCAGAAATTTAAGTGACACCTACGTGGTACGCGCTGCCGCCGCCTCCACTGCCTCCGTAGCCATACTGGCTGGATGCCCACTGTGCTGGGGTGGCATTTGGGTTCTGTCCCTGGCCCGTCACAGCAGCAATAGCACTGAACATCTGGGAGGTCATGTTCTGTGGCAAAGCATTCACTGCACGTGTCAGATCTGCAAGAAAGACACATCACGTTAGACAAAGTGGAGCCTGGAGAAGAGCCTCACATCCCCATTCCAACCAGGAAAGGTTGACTGACCTGCCAGGTTAATGTTAGCTGGAGTAGCATTAATGGAGGCTGGAGTCCTGGTCCGACTGCTACTGCTGGGGGTAATACCTGTATAAAATACAAAGCAAGAGAGACAGATTAGTTCTCCTAGAAGAGCAGCAACTGGCCTGAAAATCAAGGATTTGAAAAAAGCAGAGGCAACACTTGTTCTGGCATGATGGTTTGTTACCAGGGAATGGTGTGTGCTGGATTGTATGGTAAGGGAGGCTGAGGAAGAGGAAAGAGACTGGTCCAGCCTTTGCTGCATGGCCCACTTGGCTGAAAGATTAACTCACAGGAGAGCTCTGTGGGTCTATAAAAGCCAAACACTTGGAGTGTTGCTTTGAAATTTCCCACATAGAGAAAAACCTAGGATACATTTCAGGGTCAAAGAACACGAAACTGTCTTTCAGTAACAGTCCCTATTGCATGACATCCAGGAAAAAAACAGCTGAGACACTCAAGTTTTAGGGTGCTCACCTGGAACAGGATCCTGATAATGATCCTTAAACCATCGGAAAAGTCCATTCACGGTAGGGAAGACCTGGCCCCGGTAGCGGAATCCTTCTGGTGTCACTGTCACATACTCTATCCTGTGAGGAGCAGTGAGTGCACAAGAGATCACAGCCTGTTTCAGAGCTATACCTGTCCCTCACTAACAGGTCAGTCAGACCAGGCATAGCCTACAAACCACAGGTGATGGCTGTGCTGATCATGAACAGATAGATCTACCCAAAGACACTTCATTTTCCATGAACTGCTCCAAAACACCTTGCCTTCCCATGAAAAACTACCAGTGCCTGCCTATACTCCTGTGACACTCACTGCGCAGGGCAGTGCTGCTTGTGGCAGTCAGCTGGTTAGGAACATGGGAGTCTCCAGGGTGACATTTACTGCCAGAATTGAGTCCTTTACTGGGAAGGCTAAATCCTGGGAAGGAGGTGTGACCTACAGGGAGTCTGACAGGGCTGGAAGAAAAACTGGCAGCAGTCAGCTGAGGTGTGGGACTGGCAGTACTCAGTGCAGATCCTGGCCTTGCCTCTTCCTTACCTTGGTTTGCCTCGAGGCTGATATCCCAAGAGGAATTTACCAGGTAGATCTTTACAGGCACTAATAAAGTAGGGAATAAATGTTGGCTTCTCTTTCTTGGTCTTTATCAGCAGCTCTTCCAGCTTCTAATTAAGAGAGAGAGAGAGAGAGAGAGAAGATAAATGCTCCAGGGGAGCCTGCATTTTCAGCTACACACAGAGCCTATGGATATCTTCCTACAGAAGCTACCACATCCCAGGACAGCCTCACCTTCTTGTCTCCACCATTGCAGTCCTGATAATATTTGTGATTCAACAGGTCCCTGGCAAAAGAAGCCATTGGCTGGACATAGCGAGCAACAATTTCATCCAGGTCTTCAAATTCCTTTGAACAAACACATTTAAAGAGGTATTTAGGGTGCATGATGAGGAACTCTTATTCCAGTCACACACTGAACTCTTATTCAGTCACATGTTCTGCACAGCAAAGCTGGATGCTTGGAGGAAAAAAAAAAAAGAGCTGAATATTGCCTAAGGATCTGGAGAACTTCACTGAACTCCAGATTCTCCAGCAGTTTGAAAGCAGCTGCAAGGACAGAAAGGTTGTGCCAGACTGTCCCTGTGAAATAGTGACTTCTCCTTCCCAGACACACTCTGCAGGGCTCTTACCTCCGTGTTGATCCAAAGCATGGAGCCCAGGCTGAAGGCATTCTCCTTGCCCTCTTCCCGGACATCCACATGCTGGTAAATCCCATCATTGACCTTCCAGGTGACAGTCAGGTGGTTCTCCCCTTTGCTACTTGGCCGAATAATCACATCCCCTTGGTCCATGGTCTCCATCATCTTCTCTGCTTGCTTGAAGCTAATGTTGTGGAATGATGGGTGAGCAATTACTCTCTTGATGTACGCTATGGAACAAAGCGGAGTGTTCAGGCTTCCAAGAGGAACTGCTTTAATGCCACTATGTATCTACTTGTGCTGATTGTCCTGGAGTACCCTAGGAAGGCTGGAAGTTACAAGGGAGAGAAAAATTAGTGACTCACTTGTGCGCTGCTGCTTTCTCTTCATGTCTTCTTCGTGTTTGTGATCTGCTGCTTCAGAGTCGAAGTCATAGTAGGTGTCTTTAGGCAGTTTCCACTCATTGTTCTTATCCATCAGGTCTGAGGTCCTGCAGGTCAGGTCTGCACTGAACTTCTCAATGTCAATCTTCATGATCCTGCAGTGAACAGTCATTCCCACCTGCAGAACAGGTGCAGGCACAGGTGAGCAGCAGGTTTGGCCCATACACCAACCTCCCTGTGCTACACGGTGATCACTGTGGGGTCACACTACCAATGAGGAGGTACAAATGACCTCACCAACTTCAGACTGATACAACTTTTCAAAGTGATCCTTCTACATGAACTGAAAATCAACTGATCCCCAAGATCACCAGAATCAAAAGAGATTAAAGGGAAAATGGGCAGTTTTCCAGCATGTCTATTCCCTATGGCCCGCACCACACAGAAAACTGCATATCTGGAGGATGAGGACAATAAAGCTTTCTACTTTAAATATCTTTAACAATAGGAACAGCAAAACTGGACTTTCAAGATGTGGAAGAAAGCAGTTAAGTCTGTTCACAAATACACACCCAAAGGATTGCTTTAATATAATGGGAGACAGAAAATACCACCACAAAAACTGCAATGTCTTAGTCCAGTTAACCGTGCTGAAGTTAGTAACTCTTTAAAGAAATACTAAAAGACCTCTGAGCTTACAGGATTACCCATCACCTGCAGGGACTGTCAGAGACCCCAAAAGACAGCAAAGATCTTAAACTTCTATTTTATAATGAGATAAAAACATGTTATTCCATTTCTTTCAGAACCTCAATCCCTGTCCCGAGCAAGACCAGTACTTCTGATGACCTCCACAAACAAACTGAGACAGAAGAAAAAGCTGTGAGAGGGAAAATGACCCTTGCCTATCCAACAGCAGTTCTGTGAACTCTTTAGAAAGCCAGAAACAAAGGGCAGCTCTGCATTAGAATGCCTTCTGGTCTCCTAAACCCAGACTTCAGCCAGACGACAATAAATCCCCCACAGCGCAATGTGTTAACTGATTAACAGGGTTCCACCAGCTGCCAAAGGAGATTTGCACCGTGGGAGAAGGACACTAACCAGAACCTG